CTTTTTTTCTTTTTTGCTTATGTGGTGCTGAGGAATCGAACCCAGGGCCTCAGGCATGCAAGGCAAGCGCTCTACCACTGAGCCACCTTCCCAGCCCCTAAAAAGGCCATTCTTATGACAGGTGTGGTTTAATAAAAGGCCATTCATTCATTTGAGAAGTGTGCATCAGTCATGGATTTCTCAAAAGAAATCAACAAGTATGTAAGTGCTTCAAGAGCCAACAAAGGAAGAGAATAAAATTCATCAGGAAAGCAGCCCTGAGAACAGTTTCTAGATGTGCTTTTCGACCTTTATAATATCTTCAACCTTTACTTGTACCCTTGCCCCTCTCTTGTTTAATGAAAGATTTCGATTTGATTCATGATTGCTACAGTTGATACATTTAGGCTTCTCTGTAAAGGATATTTTAATATTAAAATGTATCATGTATTTTCCTTCTTTTTCTAGGTGGATCTGGAACCAGAAGGGAAAGTGTTTGTGGTAATAACTCTGACTGGGAGTTTCACTGAAGGTAAGAATGAATTTGAGGGGGTTCTGGATTAAATAATCTCAATTCATATCTTCAGAGGAGTTTCTGTGATGGAAATTATCAAAAGGGCATTTTGCAAAAGATGTTTAAAAATGACTGGCTTAGGTTGGGTGGACTGGCTTTTTATTGCCAATGGTTCATTGGTCCAGAGTGCATTTGAGATATTGGACAGTATTGAATATATGTTTGTACACATGTACATATTGTACAATATTGTACGTATGTTTGTACATGCATGTATTTAGTTATTTATGCATGTGCACATACCTGGCTGCTATCCCTTAGCTTTTTTATTCAAGGCTTCATCTTTTTGCTAGTTAATTAGAGATACTTTTATCCCACAGACTTTCCAGCCTGGGCTAGCTTTGAGTTGTAATCCTCACATCTCAAACTGCTGAGTAGTTAGGATTACAGATGTGAGCCACCAGTACCGGGCTTTGTGCTTTATTTAATCTATTCATTGAGCAGGTTAAATATCTTAAGCTGAATTTTTTTTTTTTATCGGTGGTGGGGCTTGAACTCAGGGCCTGGGCGCTGTCCCTGAGCTTCTTTGTGCTCAAGGCTAGCACTCTACCACTTGAGCCATAGCAGCACTTCTAGTCTCTGATTGAGTAATTGGAGGTAAGAGTCTCATGGGGACTTTTCTGCTCAGGCTGGTTTTGAACAGCTATCCTCAGGTCTCAGCCTCCTGAGTTGCTATATTACAGGCATGAGCCACCTGTACCTGGCTGTTTTCTTTCATTATGGTTTTGCTTCTTTTGAATCTTGACAATAAAGTTCTACTTTAGGTTTTTGCTTTTGTACCAGTCTTTTTTATTATCTCTGAATGTCCATGGAAGAAAATTTGGAATCATATCTTCTCTTCTTTCTAATCTCCATATTATTCTTCTCTCTTAAGGAAATCTGTACCTCATTCATAGCTACCAAATTCTACCCCTTGTCACATACAATGCCATTCTTTTTAGTTGAGGTAAATTTTATTTGTGGTAAAAGGAAAGATCAAGTGAATAATTTGGCCCTGGCTCAGTCAAATAAAATTAGTGTAATATTAGATTAAGTCACTAATAGAACTTTCTCCCAATGGCCCTGAAGCATGGGCCAGCTGTAGAAGAAAGAAATATGGCAATGAGAAAGGAAGCCAGATTGCAGGGTTTGTAAGAGTAACTAAATGTTAATGAAGTTGTATCTTCTGTAATTGTGCTGACATTGGAATACACTGGAATATTCTTACTTTTTCTCTATCTTTTTGTGCTGATTCTAAGGCTTAACTAAGAGCTCCATGCTCTCACGTGGCCTTTTTACTCAGCCAGTATTCTGCCTTCACTTTGGCTTTTTGCTAGTTAATTGGAGATAGGAATCTCATGGTCTTTTCTACTTGAGTTGGCTTCAAACTGTTATCTTCAGGTCTCAGCCTCCTGAGAAGCTAAGATTACAGGCATGTGCCACCAGTACCCAGCTTTTTTTTTTTTTTTGCCAGTCCTGGGGCTTGAACCCAGGGCCTGGGCACTGTCCTTGAGCTTCTTTTGCTCAAGGCTAGCACTCTACCACTTGAGCCACAGTGTCACTTCCAGCCTTTTCTGTTTATGTTGCACTGAGGGAGTGAACCCAGGGCTTTATGCATGCTAGGCGAGCACTCTACCACTAAGCCACATTCCCAGCCCATTGTTTTTATTTCTTAGTTTTAGTGATAAGAAGAAATCACCAAGTCATTGGAGAGTGAGTCCTTACTAGGTCAGTCCAGTTGTATTTCTTTCGGAGCTGACCTTGTGCATGTAGTAGGCTGAGTTGATCCTTAGTAATTCCACCTTTCCTTTAACCAGTCCTTCATGCTGTCTAACTTAGGTATAAATGCCCAGTAATCTCCTTGTCTAGTAATAGTTGCTGATAAGAAAGACAGTGAATTCATGAACTAATTCATATTACAGTAATTAGTATTGCTGTCTTAGTTCTCCACCCTTCCTAGGTGGGTTCACATATTTAAGAGATGCCAGAACTGTTTTATTCATGAGACGTACCTTACTTAGTACTAAGACTTCAGGGAAGGTGGCATCTATGTGCTGGACATGTATTACGAGCCCCAAATCTATTTTCTCTGTCTCCCATTCTATGAGGTGTTTTTCACTTTAACATTACTGGGGGCAGCACAAGAGTTTAAAATTTTCTTTTTTTATCGGTGGTGGGGCTTGAACTCAGGGCCTGGGCGCTGTCCCTGAGCTTCTTTGTGCTCAAGGCTAGCACTCTACCACTTGAGCCATAG